AACACCGGCTTGAGAACAAGCTTGGTGCCAACGCCACAACGATATTAACAATAACAATAACGAGGGGGTGGTTGGGATAAAGAGTATGGGGAAAAAGACGTAAATGTCAGAATGAAAGATTACGAATAAATAGAATAACGCCTTTTTGTGTTTCACCCTACACTTTTTGAAATTGTTCCCCAACTAGGTCCACAGTTAGACTGCATACATCCCAAATATTTACTTTCAGCACTGGCCATTCGGGAACTTAATTTACATTTCGTTATTGTAGGCAGCTTAAACCAGAAGACCTAACAGTCGAAGCATAGGAACTACGGTGCTGGAGATACAAGCATCTGGACATGTATTGGCTCAAGCCACAATTCCCGTAACCAAACCTAACCGTGTCAGGCTAAGATCGCTTGAACAAATGACGCCCCTTTCATTGGCATGTCGGGTAGAGATTTGTTTGATGGGATATGATTTTCCCTTTATCAACAGGTCGTGATACTTTTCTACGAATTGGGTGGACAACACGAGGTTGCACATACGATCTGAGAGAACCCTCTAAAGAAATTCGGTGCGGCGGTGTATACGCTCCGATAAGGCATCTCTTCGTTTCCATTAGCCTGTGCTGAGCGATCCGTATATTTTTCGAAGTTACAACAAAATCAGCAATTCAGTGGTGGGTGCATACTTTGTGAACATACTGCCGGAAGAACTCTAGGCGCTCGGTTGGCTGTGGCCATTATCAGTTATGTGCAACCTGAGGTGACATGGCAGTAATGGAAAAGCTATACAATTTTCCCATGATTTTGCTTTAACAGCAAGCGCTTGACACCTAAAAACAACTAAATTGACACGAAAGTACAAAAGCCTCTATCGTAGAAGCTATATTTGTTATCTTAAAGAGTAAAATCATTCTTCAAGCGAAAATTTTTCCAATAGTGGCCGGGGTTTAGTATGGAGAAAGCCCTATGGCTGCATAACAAACTAAGAAGGCCCATATACCTAATCAGCAAATCAGAAAAATACGCGTACCACACGCTAGAAGAAATTCCAGAAACGGTTGACTGATTCTATAGTTCCCGATAACAACCTGAATTTTGCAAACTTCATCTGGGTATGTCTAGATTATTGTTCTGGACGCTTCCAGAACACAGCCGCAGCTGTGTGGACTTAAGAGTAAAAAACACGAAGTATTACTTCCTTTCTCTAAATTATAGTACTTGCCTACTTCACTGAGTTGCTTTGCACCTAAGTCTAAGCGGTTAGACAATGGTCGATTCAGTGGGACTTACCACTATATCTCAAAAAGTACCAGCTCTTAACCGCAAGAGCCGATACCGTTCGGGACGGGCAGCTGGCACTGTAGTACACGGATGTAGTTAATGACTTAGGAGTCATTCTCCCGAAGAGTTTCAAGCCCGAAACACAATGTCTGAAGGCAGTCGATAAGGCTCGTAGTAAGTTCTTCAGGTTGTGTGCTGCCCTTATATGTAGAAACGCATAGGTCTTTATACCTATCTACAAGGCAATAGTTCGCCCTCACTTAGAATACTGTTTTCTGGCATGGGCACCATACTATAGAAAGGATATAGCATGCCTGTAGAAGGTGCAACGACTTGCTACCAGAATGGTAGCTGGGCAAAAGGGAGAAAGCTACGAACAGCGATTGATAGACCTAAATCTCTTTTCGCTGGAACGTAGACGACCGCGAGATCCGATAGAAACCTTTAAAATAGTCAGAGGGCTATCAAGGCTCCACGCAGATGACTTGTTTATGGCTTCTCTTGCTCAAAACACGAGGAGTCATAGCTCCAACAGAACCATGCTAGGTTGGAGGTCCGGACCAACTTCTTCGCCCATAGGGTTATAGCTATGTGGAACAGGTTAGCCGGGGATGTGGGTAACGGCACCAATGTGCACAACTTCAAGAGGGCACTGGATGCGTGTTGGCCGGGAATGTTCCCTGAGGTTAGGTGGTAATGGATCGTCACTAAGAGCCAGGTAAATTGCAGCCCCCAACTATAGAATCGGGCTTTTGAATTGTACTTGAAACTGGTATGTTTCAGAAAACTAAGGTCTCTCACCGATGAGGCGAGAAGACATCTCTTGTGTTTTCTCTTTTCCAGCTCGACTGAGAAAACCTGGTTAAAGAAACTCAGACAACGGAGTATTGGGGGCCAAGAACACAATAAACACAATATTCTGGACTCTCTATTGGCAAGGGCCATTATTCGTCCTGTGAAAACTGGACTGGACGACGAATTCATCGTTGGAGTCAGGTTAGGTCAGGTTGCACAGGACTGAATATGGCTACGGCCAATCGAGCGTCCAGAATTCCTTCGATGGTATGCTTACTACGAGGGCACCCAGCTCTGCTGAACTAGAATGAGAAACAGGATCTCATCTCACCAAGTTGCAACTCACCATATGGCGCGTCACCAGAAACCGGTGAATTACTCATACGTTCAAAGCAATACTTGTCGGTTTTTCCCAATATTACACACTCCTATTTCACCTAGCAACTTTTCACGTCTATCTGAATGGTTTTTTTGACGCGAAATATATAGACCGCATAAAATATAGTTTATGGAGCCGCCACTGCGCGCCATGGTGAAATCTGAGAACATGATAAACAAAAAATAAGTTTAACTTCACAGTGCGCATTTATAAGGATAATACGCTAAGCTTCACCGGAGGAATAGCCTATCACAAAGACAACCTGCCAGTACACCAGATCAGAAGTGAATCGTTCTGACGCGAAACTTCGGTACGCAGTTATCGTTTCTTTTATGTGGACAAACAAAATCCATTGGTCAATATGGAAACCCGAAGATATCAGGTCTTTGAACGGTGGAACCGTTCTATTTAAGTTCAGTTAGCCCATAACATAAAATTTCCCCGGACAATGAAAGCTTCAGGTCTCGATGTTATCCAACGCCATCGAAGGGATATTTTCAGTTCAGTTCATTTCAGTTCATTTCAGTTTGCACAGGACGATGTGTGGCCCAGGCCAACCTTGCGTCCAGATTGATGTGTTTTTGGCTGTTCTTATGGCTTCCAACACTGCGAGTCAATAGGTTTTTTTCTGAAAGGCAGAAAGTAAGGTGCAGTATCACGTCCTGGGCAATGGCGCTCAGGACTAATAGGTACTTACCATCAA